TCTCCAGCATTCTCACACCTCGCGCGAGCCATTTGGGCTTTTCCATTTCAAATGCAATGTATGCTATGGAAATCCCAATTACGATTCCAGATGCATAACCCATCCACATTCTTTTTTGTTCCAACCAACTATGATGCCCTTTGCAATTGAAAGAGGAGGACGATGGTGGAAGACGTTGAGCATCGCCACGGCATGCTTTTTGCAATGGAGTTCCACATAAGCCTGGATTATCACTAAACCAGTCGCTTGAAAATGTGTTCAAGTGCTTTTCTTGTGGAATTCAACCAGTGAGTTGATTCTCCTAGAGGTCTAAGTATCCAAGGGATGCCAAATCTCCCAGTATTCTAGGAATTTCCCCACTAAGCTTGTTCGAAGAAAGATCAAGCCATTCAAGATCAGTCAAGCTCTCTAAAGTTGGAGGGATGGAACCTGTAAGATGGTTGTGTGAAAGGTTGAGCCCTTTAGGAGAGTGGAGATGTCCAAAGACTCGAGGAATATCTCCTTGGAAAGAATTGTGCGACAAGTCAATGGTTGTGAAGATGGTCAAGATCTTCACTAGCTTAATCTCCAGCCCTTTCATCGTCATGATCACAGAATTTTCATATGACACCTTTTGGAAAGACAGTGTCATATATAGTGATTTTTCTTGCCCATTTTAGCCATTCATCATGCCTTTCAAGGTTCATTATCAAGTTGGCTCGCAAAGGACCCCCTAAATTGTTGTTGGAGAGATCCAAAATGCGTAACTTGGGAAAGAGGTCAACTCCCTCTGGAATATCCAAAAGACCCTTAAAATGAGAACTTTTAACTCTAGAAGCATTCCTAATCATCTTGAGAATGTATCCTCTTTCTGATTGCTACTGATATCCAGAACTTCTAGATATTTACATTCGACAAGGGACTGCGATAAAGTGCCTTCAAACCGATTTTGACTGAAGTCAAGAGTCACCAAGCTATTTCTTGATGAAAATGTTTGAGGAATTGTGCCCTTAAGGTGATTCATTCGTAAGTTAAAAATCAACAGATCGGTACTAAAATTTGTTAAGCATTGAGGCAAGGCACCTGTCAAGCCATTATCAGACAAGTCGATGATTTCGAGCTTGGTAGCATTGCATAACAAAGAATGGATCTTTCCTGATATATTATTATTTGCATTGGAATAATAAAATGTCATGGGAGATGGAAGTGGAATTGGCCCTCCAAACTTATTGTTGGATAAATTTATTACACCCAATGAGGTGTTTGAGAAGATATCATTGAACTCATTGTGACTGAGAAATAATGATGATGAGTTAACGCATTTGACTTCGGAGTGCGGTAATGACCCTTCTAACTTATTGCTGCTCAAGTCTAGAACCTGAATATTGGTCATATTACGAAAACATGGTGGCATATCCCCAGAGAGATTATTGTTAGACAAATTTAAAGACAAGAGTAAACTCAAGTGGCAAATTGAAGAGGGGATTTCACTAGTAAAACCATTATTGGAGGCGAAAAGGTAAGAAGTAAAAGGTGGAAGGATTGAAAGTGGTCCTTGGAACGAGTTGTTCTGAAGATTTATATATAACAATTTCTTCCAGTATAATTGTGGTATACCTCCCTCCAGAAGGTTATGAGAAAGTTCTAATCCTTCCAATGTATCATGGCTTATTCCCCATAACCTCCTCGAGATCTCCCCACTATTCCTATTGGAAGAGAGGTGTAAGAGTATTAATCTTTCTAACTAATTCAAGAAATAAGGGAACTTGGTCAAGTTGCAAGAATGCAACCGCAACCATTCAAGCTTCGAGAATGTATAGCTCAGTCTACTATAGGTTAGAATTAATTCCTGAGAAACACTGAGCCACTGTAGATTTTTAAGCTTCGTAAAGATTTCAAACTCTACAACCCCGCTAAAGTTACTCCCGTCAAGATATAGGGATTGGAGTTGTTTGAGATTTCCCAATGATGAGGGGACGCGTCCTGTAAATTTGCACCCTTCTAGATCTAAAATTGTTAAACTCTTCATTTTACCAATTGAATCGGGTATTTCTCCTTAAAAGCTTGTACTGGACAGAGTCAAGAACGCAAGAGGACCGGTCCAATTGGATTTGGGAAGAATCCCAGACATGTCTTCATTGGAACTCAAATCGAGAGTAGCAAGGCTCAGGAACCTAAAAATAGTAAATGGGAATTCCCTCTTTAAGGAACAACCACTAACACTTAAATATGTCACAAAAGAAGACAAGTTCGCAAAGGACTTTGGTGAAACCATAGACAAGTTTATAAAATCAAGAACAAGCCTTCTCAATATTGTTAAATTCTGAGCAAGTATTGTGAAGATTGGATTTTCCAACTTGAGTGAAAAGAGCGAGTTTGATTCATCAATATAAGGGTAAAAGAGATCAAGTGACACCAGCTTGGAAAGGTGAGAGATTTCACTAGGAAGGGTATCTGAAAAGTTTGAACGAGAAAGATTCAGATGAGTCATGTTTACAAATACACTAAGATTAGGTGAAATGTGTGAGCTAGCAAAGCCATTACCAAAAAGGTTGAGGCTCCGAAGATGGCGAAGGAGAAAGAGGGAGCTATTGGAATGGAGAGCACCACGAAGCCAACTGCAAGTAAAATCGAGACCGATGACATAATCGGTGACATCGTCGTAAGTCACGCCGTTCCACAAGTAGCAGTCCATGCTCTTGTTCCATGAATTTGTCTTTGGATAAGAAGGGTAATCCGAATCATAATAGCCAAAATCCGAGGCCATGCTATCAAGCACGAAGGAATCCTTAAAATGCAGCAAGGCATTGCGTTGGTCTGGAGGCAAAGGGGCGAGACAAAGGGAAGGGAAGAATGTAAGACACAGAAAACAGAGGAGGCCGAGGATTTGATGCCACCCTATTTTGCAATTTAGCATGAGAGTGAGTTAAGAGGTGGTGTAGAGTGCTTTAACTTACATAGACCATCTCAAGTGTGAGTTCATTGACACAAGTCTTCGCACATGTGTTAGCCATTCTAAAAGCTTTGCTCAAAACAGAGTACGAGTAATTTATGTAATTTTACAGTTCCTAATCATTGCATGTGGAGCAATGATAAAGTATCTGCTTAATTTGAAATCAACGTTTAATATGCAAGATCAATGTGTTGGGTTCAACTACGCAACCCTTCATACCTTTTTTTTTTATATGAAATTTTCTAATGTAGAATTACAAGATTTTATGAGCCACAAAAGTAAATACAATTTAAAATGAGTTGTTCTACTTATGAGGAAAGGCTACCTAATTAACAGTCCGTAACAATGTGAAAGCCTCCAGTAATTTCGTCAAATATAAGAGCGAATAAAAAGCCTAGAAAAGTTGTCTGACACTTCACTCGAGAAACAAATTATATACATATTATTTGGATCACTCAAAAAACTTGCACAATTCAAAAGTACTTGAGATTTATTTTCTCAAAGTTAAATAATTGTAGAGTTTAAGATAAAAGTAGTAAAATATCTTTTAAGTTTCATAAAGTGCTTGTCAAATACTATATGGACGTTGGGAGAAGAGAAGCAGGAAGCTTTTTGCACAAGGTATATAAATGAGATATCCGCTATCACCACTTCTGCTCCTTCGTACTGGCGAAATTAAAGGAGATTATGTAAGAATTGCAGGTTTGGATTATCCGCATATTGATCGCAAGCCAGAAATATCGGATTTCTTTGGCAAATGAATTGGGATTCTAATTCTTATAATCAATAATTTTTTTGTGAACTCAATTGCGCTGGATCTGGCGGAACGGGAAAAGCAAGAATCAGATCATCATCATGACCACCCACGCTCTCACATTCCAAGTCGGAAAGTCCGTTTTTATATGGCAAAAGTATTGTCCAACGCACTTTAATCTATCGTGCGACGTCCTAATTACGGGGGAAAAAGTGAGGGCATTATTAGATGCACCCAGGAGGTCGTTGCCTGTATTTTATTTCAAGTCAAGTCTCCCCATTATTGGTAAGCAAAATAACTTGGCAAGCGTCCATGCCTACGCGGTTCTTCATGGTGGTTGTACTGTACGTCGTTCGTTGTTGTAAGTTCCATAGCCATCAGCAGAAAAGCATAGTTATTCTTTTACTTGTTCTTTCTTCCAAGGATAATCGGACTTGCGGAATAATTCGAGCACTCGATTTATTATAGTTCGCATCAAGCTCAATAATCCTCTCATCTTATTCGGATGTTCCGACACGAAACTAGTCATGATTGCTTTTCTACATATATTAATATGCTCAGAACAGTTATCCAACTTAAATAATCTGGTTAAGTTTGTCGACAAATTATCGATGTATTTTTAACAACCAGATATATGAATGCTTGCAAAGGGAGCAGCTCGCTTCGCCTTAGATTATGTATCCCATCTCTCTCTCTCATTTATATTAGAAAGATGTATTCGCCTGTGAACCACTCTCAAAAAAAAAAAATCTCTAAAAATTAACACATCATCAAGCTTATATGGAGTTGCCGCATCAGAATTTTACACTCAATGCATAAAACGCAAGTAATTACAGTGAGACAGCTTTTAGAATTTGATTAAAATAAATCAAGTGCTCATTAGATTACCGTCATATCTTTTTCTACCCACCCTTAAGTTTTCTCATTTCCCCAGTCGTCTTTTCTTTGCCAAACCTCAAATTTCTATTGATTATCTTTGACCAAAGTTTTGAAGCCTTTGAGTCTCCTCAGGTTTCATGAGTAGTTCAGTCAAACAAAATCTCTGCACACGGCAAGATAAAGAAGATATCTGGAGCGGTTCATGGCACTTTCTTCACTTTCCTGTTTTTTGCTTTTTCTTTAAATGCTATGTGCTTGGCTGATCTCATTATTCATCTTCTCAATTCAACTGATATGCAAATGAACCAAGAAACATAAAGAGAAGACATTAGAAACAAGCCTTCATACAGGAAATGACATTTCAAGTTGGTCCGCTGACATCTTTATTCATTAAATCTACAATGCATGGTTTCAAGTGACAACTCCTCAACAATTTCATTGTCCATGAAATTTGTTCGCCTTCCGCTTCGGCTTCTCCATCCACTTGGTTGCTCTTCTTTCCAGTATTCTCACACCTCGCGCGAGCCATTTGGGCCTTCCCATTTCCAATGCAATGTATATTATGGAGATTCCAATTACAATTCCAGATGCATAACCTATCGCCATTGCTTTCTGTTCAAACCAACTCCCATGCCCTTCAAAGTTAAAAGTTGACGAGGACGATGGTGGAGGAGGTCGAGCATTGCTAGGCCATGCTTTTGGCAATGGAGTTCCACATAAGCCTAGATTCCCACTAACTGATTCGCTTGAAAATGTGCTCAATTGCTTGTCTTGCGGAATTCGACCAATGAGTTGGTTCTTCGAGAGGTTCAAGTATCCAAGAGATGCCAAATCTCCTAGTACTCTAGGAATTTCCCCACTAAGCTTGTTTGAAGAAAGGTCAAGCCATTCAAGATCAGTCAAGTTCCCCAGAGTTGGAGGGATGGAACCTGTAAGGTGGTTGTGCGAAAGGTTGAGCCCTATGAGACAGTGAAGATGTCCAAAGACTTTGGGAATGTTTCCTTGGAAAGAATTGTGCGACAAGTCAATGGTTGTGAAGACGGTTAAGATCTTCACTAGCTCAATCTCATGCCCTTTCATGGTCACGGTCACAGAATTTTCATATGATAACTTTCGAATGTACCGTGTCATATACAATGGTTTGTCTTGCCCATTTTTGTCATTCATCATGGCTTTGAGGTTCAACAGGTTGGCTGGCAAAGGACCATGAAAGTTGTTTTTGGATAGGTCCAAAATGTGTAAATTGGGAAAGAGGTGATGTCCCCTAGGAATATTCAAATGACCCTTAAAATTATTGGACCTCAAAATGAGAACTTTCAGTTCTGGGAGTGTTCCCAACCATTTTGGGAATGTATCCTCTATCCGATTGTCACTAAGATCCAAAACCTCGAGATATTTACATTTCACAAGGGACCTAGGCAATGTGCCTTCAAATCGATTTCGACTCAAGTCAAGAGTCATCAAGCTATTTCTCCAATAAAACGATTGAGGAATTGTGCCCCAAAGGCGATTCATTTGCAACTTTAAAACTGATAGATCGGTGCTAAAATTTGTTAAGCACCGAGGCAAGCTACCTGTTAAGCCGTTGTTAGACAAGTCGATGATCTCAAGCTCGGTGGCATTGCATATCAAAGAAGGGATCTTTCCAGTTATATCATTATTTGCAATGGAATAATAGAATGTGTTGCAACATGGTAGTGGAATTGGCCCTCCAAACTTGTTGTTAGACAAATCTACTACAAGTAATTTGGTCTTTGAGAAAACCTCCATGGGCCACCGTCCTATAAAATTATTGCTTCTCAAGTCTAGCAACAAGAGATTGGTCATATTACCAAAACATGGTGGCATATTCCCAGAGAGACTATTGTTAGATAGACTTAACTCATAGAGTGAACTCAATTGGCAAATTGAAGAGGGGATCTCACCGGTGAAACCATTGTGGGAGGCATAAAAATAAGAAGTAGAAGGTGGAAAGAGGAGTGGCCCTTGGAATTTATTTTTGCTCAAGTCGAGGTTCGAGAGATTGGTTATATTATGAAAACATGGTGGCAAATTCCCGGAGAGACTATTGTTAGACAAATCTAATTGTTGGAGTGAACTCAATTGGCAAATCGAGGAGGGGATCTCACCAATGAAACCATTATGGTAGGCAAAAAAGTGAGAAGTAGAAGGCACAGGGATCAGAAGTGGCCCTTGGAATTTATTTTCGCTCAAGTCTAGGTACGAGAGATTGGTCATATTACCAAAACATGGTGGCATATTCCCAAAGAGACTATTGTTTTGCAAAAGTAAATCTTGGAGTGATTGCAACTGGCAAATTGACGAGGGAATCTCACCAGTGAAGCCATTGTCGGCGGCATTAAAGTAAGAAGTAGAAGGTGAAGGGATTGGTAATCTTCCACTAAAGTTATTCCCAGCAAGCATCAAAATTTGGAGTTGCTTGAGATCTGCTATTGATGATGGGATATGTCCTGTGAATTTGCACTCTTGAAGATCTAAAACCATCAAACTCTTTTTGTTACCAATTGAATCGGGTATTTCTCCTGAAAAGTTCGTATACGCGAGATACAAGAACATAAGAGGACCAGTCCAATTGGATTTGGGAAGAATCCCAGACATGTGGGCATTGCTACTTATATCAAGAGTAAGAAGGCTCGGAGATCGAAAAATAGTATCTGGAAATATCCCCCTAATAGTACAAGAAGAAATGCTTAAATGTGTCAAAGAAGAAGACAAATTCATAAAAGACATTGGTGAAACCATTGACATGTCTAATTTATCAAGATTAAGCTGTGTCAAATCGGTTAGATTCTGAACAAGCTTTGTGAAGATTGAATTTTCCAACCTGAGATAAGAGTTGATGTCCAAATCAAAATTCCTAGAGAGATCGAGTGACACGAGCTTGGAGAGGTGAGAGATTTCACTAGGAACGGTTCCCAAAAAGTTTGAAAAAGAGAGATTCAGATGAGTCATTTTAACAAATGTACTTAGATTAGGCGAAATATGTGAGCCAACAAAGTCGTTACCAAAAAGGTTGAGGCTTTGAAGATGGCGAAGGAGAAAGAGGGAGCTATTGGAATGGAGAGCGCCACTAAGCCAACTGCAACTAAGATCCATACCGATAATGTTACCAGTGATCTTATCGCAATTGATACCATCCCACGAGCAGCAGTCCATGCTCTTGTTCCATGAGTTTGTCTTTGGATAAGAGGTGTCCACATCTTCATCATCATCACAAGTAAAGCTGGAAGCGTCCTTGTCAAGCATGAAGGAATCCTTAAATTGGAGCAAGGCATCGCTCTGATCACGAGGGCAAAGAGGTGATGCCAAGGGATGGGATGAGTGTAGGAAGAAAAGGAAACAGAGGAGGCCAGGGATTTGATGCCACCTCATTTTGCAATTTAGCATGCGAGTGAGTTTATTAGTGGTGGAGAGTGCTTCAACTTATATAGTCCTTCTAAACGCCGAAGTCATCGACACAAGTCTTTCTCCAGCAGGTCTATTGGTGGGCTCTCGACATGCGTTACCCGTTCTCAAAGCTCTGCTGGTCGGCGTACGAGTAATTTCATGTAATTTTACAATGCCTAATCATTGGACGTGGAGCAATGATAAAGTATCTGATTCATTTCAAATAAACGTTTAATATGCAAGATCAATATGTTGCGTTCAACAATGCAACCTTTCAGATTTTCTTTTTAAATTTTCAAATCTAGAATTACAAGATTTAATTAGCCACTAAAAGGAAATAGAAAAAACTGAGTTGTTCTACTCGTGAAGAAAGGCTACCTAATTAACAACCCATAACAACGTGAAATCCTCCAGTAATTTTGTCAAATATAGGGATAATGACACAAATAATCCTTGAACTTTGACCCAATATGGAATGTGGTCCCTGAACTTTAACCTAATGTTCAATGTGGTCCCTGAACTTTTGGTACATGTTCAATGAAGTCCCTGAACTATGTGAAAATGTTTAATGAGTTGTATATTGAACATTTTTACATTTTACATTTTCATATTGTTCATGGACTAAATTGAAAGAACTACATTAAACATTTTCACACCGGGTCATCCAGAGTGTGCAAACTGTTGTTTGCAATTCTGAGAATTGCAGGTGTGGATTACCTGGAGATTGGTTGCAAGCCAAAACATCTTATTTTGGCAGAATTGGAAGGAATCTGTGGCAATTGAATTGGCATCCTAATTTTTTTAATTAATGATTGTCGTGCGAACTCAATTGTGCCGGACTTGGTGGAATGCGAAAAGGAAGAATCAGATAGATCATCATCACTTTCCCAATGTGAACTGACTCTTGACAACCCACGCTCTCATATTCCAAGTCAGAAAGTCTGTTTTTACATGGCAAAAGCATTGTCCAACGCACTTTATTATATCGCGCGACGTCCTAATTACGGGGGAAAAAGTGGCTTTAGAAAAAGTGAGGGCATTATTAGATGTACTCAGGTGGTTGTTGTTCTGCTTTAATTTCAAGTCAAGTCTCTTCCATTATCGATATGCAAAATAACTTCGCAAGCGTCCATGCCTACGATGTTCTTCGTGGTTGTTGTACGTCGTACGTTGTTGGAAGTTCCATAGCCATCATCAACAGAGAAACATTGTTATTCATTTACTTGTACTTTCTTCCAAGGACAATCCGATTCACGGAATAATTCGAGCACTCAATTTATTATAGTTCGTGTTAAGTTCGACAATCCTCTCATTCTATTCGGACGTTCCTTCACGCAACGAGTAATAATTGCTTTTCTATGTATATTAGTGTGTTCATAACAGTGATCCAACTTAAATAATCTGGTTAAGTTTGTCGACAAATGTATTTTTACTTCCAGAAATACGCGTGATGGCAAAGGGAGCAGCTTGCTTCGCCTTAGATTATATTAAGTATCCCATCTCTCTTTCTCTCTCATATATATATTAGAAAGATTAATCAGCCTTTGAAACACTCTCAAGACAAAAATAAATTCTCTAAAAATTAACACATCATCAAGCTTTACTTATATGGAGTTGCCTCATCAGCATTTTAAACTCTTATCAAGTGCTTTAGCGCAACGGGAGGAATGAAATGCATAAATGCAAGTAATTACAGAGAGACAGCTTTCAAAACTGATTGAAATATATCAAGTGCTTATTAAATTACCGTTCTTTTTCTACCCTCAAGTCTTCTCATCTCCCCAGTCGTATTTTCTTTGCCAAACCTCAAATTTCTATTTATTCTCTTTGACTGAAGTTTTGAATCCTTTGAGTCTCCTTAGGTTTTCGTGAGTAGTTCAGTCAACGGTAATATTTCTCCAAATAAAGGGCAAAGACCAATATCCAGTTAAATAGCTCTTTCTCAAGTCAGGTTCTTTCTTCATCATCCTTCCAGTTATATTTCTTCTTATTTATCAGGGCAAACATGAGCAGCATATAAAAGTTAATCTTATGTACATGATGGTTTATATATTGTCAAGATCAATTAAGGATTATCATGTCTAGAATCCTCACGTGATTGATTATTTTGGTTTCCTCTAGATAAACATTTTTGGTTTTGGTTTTGCCTTACCAAAAAAAAAAAAACATTTTTGGTTTTGGCTTTGGCTTTGGCTCAAAGTTTTGAAAATCTTCCCATGCATGTTATTCTGAATGAAAATTGTTTGGCAAGGTTACTTTGGAAAGTCTTAGGTAGTATTGGGATGTATTGCATTTGTGTTTGTGCGAGTAAGAGCTTCATTTTGTTCACTCATTGTGATGGTAGAGTGTGGCTTTTTATTTTTATATAGGTATATCTTAGTCCCTTGATGATATAAACACATGTTTCGAATTATCCACCAAATAAGAAGGATCACAGTTTTTTGGATAAAAAGTTGGTCATGCTTTTTCATTTGTATCTTTGAATGTAATTTAAAATCTCTAAAAAAAATTGCTTGTGAGGAATCAATCGCATACGAATTGCTGTTATGCTTGTTGTTACTCTAAAATGTCTGTTTCGTGTGATAAATGCCGGTGCAAGCAGAAGAAAGATTTATCTCAGCTTCATCTATAACTATACATAATAGATAATAGATAATTGTTTTGTGTGTAAGATCAAAGTGTCGAGTGTGTCTGACGTAAACAAAGTGCCTTTCACCGATAAAATTCTCCAATCTCTTATCACAAAAAATGTTGGAAAATTAACAAATTTAAAAGATCATAATTGAATGCACGGTAAGCAGGCGAAGAAGAGGCTCATCAATTGAAGGAAAAATGGCATATAACATACCGATTTTCAAGAACTCAAAGCCCATTCAATATAACAAGCCACACGATGAAATCAAATTGCGGCAGGGCTGGAACAAACCAGATATACTATGCCAAACCATCTTTTGCTTCTTTTCCCGTATTAATTCCCAACCCAAGCATCAGCCTGAGTAAACTGACCAGAAGAATTTCTTTGTGAAAACAACTCTATCATAAGAAGAACTACAAGGAGAGTGTCCCACAACGGCTGCATGAATCACGACTTGAGATAATACCAAAGAAAGACCCTTATTTTGCTTCTTTTCAAGTGCTTTCTTTTCTCCTCTGATAAGGTCTAATCTTGCTCTATTTTAAGATGGTCAAGTCTGGTAAAGAGATAATACTAAAGAAAGACCTGAATGAATTTGGAACGGACCTGCATAATCTTTTATAATTACAACAAAGTAATCTTCACGTTCGTGACGTTCAAAACACTATCTTCCCTCCTCAACGGCTGGTCTCTTTATTACTATCACGACTGGTGGTCCAACAAGAATAGTCTGATACTGAGGGAGCGTTTGATACACGATGGTTCCAATATCAAGAAAGGAAAACTTCCAGAGAGGCTGATTTTACTTGTGACACTTCCAGAAAGCATATGATAACACTGAATTGCTTTCTATTCCAAAACAATTGAGGTCCACAGTTACATACAATTGGATCGAACAATGCACAAAAAAAAACTAGCAATTCATTCCAAGGACAATATTCAGCAATATTTTGAACATGCGTTAGGCTCCTCTGTTAGATCTGCTTTTCCATTGCAGCTTTATGCAACTATAGCAACCACCAAACATGACTTGGCTAAACTTGCTTGGAACAGCAAGTCCATTTCATATGACAAGGCCACATCAAGAGAATTATTTCAATTTACTCACACCACGTTCTATTCAATGTAAGTATAATTTGACAAGATTGCATACTCTGCAGCCAACTGCACACAGCTCAATGCCCCATCTTGAACACAAATCTTTATCTGCTTCAGTCAAAAACAAATGCCTTTCCTCCAATATGGCTTGAATACAAACTCTGACAGAAAAAACAACCAGCTAGTCAACGTGATCATGCAAGACATCATTTCTCTCCCTCCAAATATGATAGATAACCCCATTCCAAGCAAGCTTTAGCACAATTTTAAGCAGAGATTTCCCCTTAGCAGTTCAAAGAATCCATTCAAACTCTAAATCCCATGCTTTCGAGAAAGCACATTCGAAGAATATATGGTTCCTTGATTCAGGAAAAGAGGAATACAAGACACACGTATCATCGGTTGAAGTCCACAACTCATTCTATCAAATGTTTGCAGTCACTAGTTCTGCGATATATCAAATAAATCTACTTTAACGCTATAATTCCTGTCACTAGTTAGGGGCAGTCTTACATTTAGGTACATGAGGACCGTTTTGGCCAGTTATGGCCCATATGGAATGATTGCAGGACCAATCGCCTACAGGCGCAATATTCTTGTTCTTCCAAATCCAAGTTCTGTCATAACTTTTTTTTTTTTTCTTATGTCTCAAAGTAAACAAGTTCTCCAATATATCATATGCATTTGCACAAGAGTAGTCATTAGAGATGCTCAAGAAAAGTTGAAGTTCAAGATAAGAAGTCGATCAAATCAGACTTTCCGAGTTTGTCTTACTAAATTTTTTTCTGAAAAAATCAGTTGAGGTAGAGGCCAAACTCATTAATACTATATCTATATCCCACATGTGCAACCAGGAGTCGGCCACTGGACAGTGACCCAAGCCGGCCGAATGTCTGGCCGGCTACGGTGGACCAGACACTTGTGCTATTTTATTCATGTTTTGCATTTAGTTTGAGTTCAAAGACCTGCTTTGCTATCAAATATGTTCATTCCCAAAGTAGTAGCACTGAATCTTACATGAGGATCTGCATCAGTTCATCAGCAAATTCCACTTCTTCTAAGCATACCATTTACACACTACTCATGTATGAGGCAACTCTTGTGGCCTTCTGGTGGCTCTGTGGTGAGTCGACTCATGCCACGTTCTATTAACCATCTGAAATGTTTTACCATCTGAAATGTTTTCCCAAGCTGACCTTATTTTCAGGAGAAGAATATTAGAAGTGCCAAAACTTGTGTATAACGCTCGCTT